TGTCGATATATCCCCTCCCGTGTGGGCTCGAGGTCGCACCTGCCACAGCTGTTGTTGTACCCTATGCTACCTGGTCGGGAGTGTCGAGAGCATTGGCTTGAACAAGAGCTTTTCAAACTTACCGTACGTAGCTGCAGTTAGCCGCACGCCGCAACTGCCGAACCGCGAGTGCCCTTTTGGCTAACACGAGTTTGTAAATGCACGCATGGGGCTTCGGGTGGAGCATTCGACAGTGGGGCTCTTACTCTCCATACGATTGGCGAGAAAATTCAAATATTCGATGTCGATGCAGTACGAAAACTATAATTAGCAACGCCGAGGAAATGTTTGCTTTCTGGAATAATATGAATCTCACGTTGCTTCATTCGTAGGAGCGGAAAAATTAACGACATGGATTGGTTTGTCGAGTTGCGTGTCTTGGTCATCGAGTCGATGATTCATGACAATATTTCTTCCAAACTAGAACATCAATCATCTGCACAAAGTATTGGATCTACTTGGATACTTTGTAAAAATTTCCTATACGTCTGCCTAAAACTATTTATGAAAACCATTGCAAGCGAAGTAAATTAAGCAAACAGTTTTTTACTCCAAGCACGCAAACATTTAATAAATATCATTTTTAACTACAAAATGAAACGTTGCTCTTTCTCACATTGCTCGATGACAATCGCAATTCAACCACATGTAGTGTTAAACCAAATCGATAAAAAAAAACTGTACGACTGATTCATCGGCTCTACCTAAAGTCATCAGTTTACAATTAAGAGTACGCAGTACTGACTTGGTATGCCCAGAGAATCCAAGGTTAAACAATATTAATGGTACCTTGAACAAAGTTATATTTGACCCCATTTTACGTGGTGCCAACTTCAATTTAGTTTCAAAATCCACGAGTAAAGATTAATTAATCCACCGACGAACGCTAACCGGTTTCCATCGACCGAACAGTGAAACCGTCCACGTCGGAAGGCTACATCTTCTCTCAAAGTCGAGTCCCACTTCTCCATTCGGAGAAGGATGTAGCGTCCCGACGGACAAAGGCATACCGGTCGAGCGACACTCGGTAATGGCCCGGTGTCGCCACGCGCCTTGATTGAACGCTCGCACACTGACCCTTTTCCCATTTCTCTTCGCCGAAGGGGATGAAATTGAGTTGCGAGCTCTCCGGGCGTCCCATGGAAACCACCGGAACCTGGACGATCGAACTTCCCACTGTGTCTCCCCTCTCCCTCGGTTAATTGGGAGCTTCCGTGCGAAGCCGCGCGTGAATTCACCCGGTGCTTCGATCGTATCGAGACCTTTCGAAAAACCACCCCCTTTGGGGGGTGAAAAAATTGTTACTTGACAGATTTTCGCGACCACGCGCGTACGGAATACCAACCGCGAGAGAGCGTCTTTTGTGACCCGAAACCTCGGGGAACGGAGATCAGTCGTGCGGAAAATTGCGTCTCGCTACACGGTGACCGATTCTCCTCCCTCGGCGTCCATGGAAATATGGTAATATGCGCGGCTCTCTCGATTATATATCCATCTAATGCTCTTTTTTTTTTTTTTTTTATACATAATGTACTCGTACGCGAGGAATTAAAATGCAAATCATCGCGTCTTGGCCCTTTTCGTCGGAGCCATCGAGGGGGAATATCTTTACTGGATCGAAAGTTATCGTTTGCGACGTTTAACATGGCAACCAAGAGGCCAAATTGTCAACCAAAACACAAATACGCGGTATTATCCGTTAATAATCGATTCGTTGTGTATAGAATCGGTAGAATTTTGATAACAGGAATAATTAATTGTATCGGGTGCCCCGATAATTACATCGCTAATCGCTGCTCCACGGGTTTATTAATTTCAATACGTATATAGTTTGTTCAATCCGTTATGATTTATTTTACGTAAATTACCATTCGACACGGGTCGATGAAGATATTCCCTTGTTTTTCTTCAGCAACTAAATAGAAAAAACTTGATGCGTTAAAGAGAGAGAAAAAAAAAAGAAAGCGTCATAGGCTGAAAAACAGCAGCACTCAGGGGCCTTCGTCCCCCAGAACAGTTTCACTGTAGGTGCTACAAGAGAGTGGTCTTTTCGCCCGAGGAGAATCGCACAACCACCGCGTCCAGATACCGTCGAGTATTGTTTTAGTGGGGAGTCGAGCGCAATCATTGCAGGGCTGGCATCCCTCGCCCGGACACAAGAAGAGGAGGGGAAGAGAGGCGAAAAAAAAAAAAAAGGCGGGTGGCAGAAATTTTATCTCTTCGCGCCTTGCGAGCCCAACCGTGGGCTATATACGTTTACTACCCTTTGTCTTTGGCCCCCTTTTAAAGGGTCTCGCTTACACCGCGCCCGGGGGGAGAGACACATCGGCCAGCTATAATCCGTGCGCCATTGTTTTATACGCGTCCACGGCTGCCTGTGTAGTTTCGATTTTCTTTTTTTATCGCGCCACGCATTTTTACAGCACAGGGGCTTTTGGTGCTTCGTTAAAGGATAAACAAAACTCGAGATGACAAACATCGCGAAATTAAAATGGGCAGCACAATTACCATAAATACAACCACCCGGCGGTGAATTTCCATCGTTGCCAGCTACGGCACGAAAAATTGATGTACAGCTTTTATACAACGCGACGATCTACTCTCCGCGTCTGCATTATCCGCGCGGTCGAAAAGTGCCTGCCGATAAATTTCCGATCGGCCGTTTCCACGAGCTCTGGACCCATAACATTTTCATATCCCCCTCGTTGCTCTTACTCTAACGTGCATACATAAGCAGACTAGGCGGAGGGGGAGTGGAGCTATTTCAGGCAGTGCTATGCGAAATTCTCGCGATTCCGAGACCCATCCCCCTTTGCTCCGCGCGGACGCGTCGGTGTTGTGTCGTGCCAGACACACTTCCGGGTCCCATATTAAAAGCTCTGCTTTATCGACGCGAGTGTTATTGCCTCTGCGTGTCGCTTGTAAAGTGTCACCACCCCCGCCCGGACGGGGTGGCGTCGTCGAGGCTTTTAATCACCTTTCGGGTGACCTAGTTTATCTGTACTCGCGAGTATAGTGGCGTTTCCTGTTTGTTCGGAAATTTGGTCGAGGAAGGGGGTGTTTTTTGGTTTCTGATCGATTGATGAATTTTTTTTTTTTTTACTGCAACAAGTTCGGTACGAGCTGTTTTTTTATGTTTTCCTTTGACAAGGGATCGCTTATCTCCGATGATAATCGTGCTTGGAAAATCCGATGATGGGTGACTACCCTTTGGTCGGCAATGGCGTTTTCTCGGTACGTACTTGTTCGCCGGAAGATAACGCGACGTTCTACTGCTGCTGCAATCTTATCGCCCAAGATACGCTTTTAGTTTTAGCTTTTTGATAAGATTTTCAGCTAAGAATATTAAAAAATTTTCCAACGTGTTCCTCAAAGGGTACCTTTATAAGGAGTTAATGACATCGCCATCGCGACGTGATTACGAAAATTCGAGGTAAATTAACAAGTATAATTAGTGAAACAAAGAAAAACTTGTTGCATTATCAATTTCGATAAAGACTGATAATTAACATCGCTCGTAATCGTCTAGTTGTCATTTCCCGTGATTATGACATTAAAAAATAAAAACTAAGCTCTGTCGGGAGTGCATCTCCATAATCTAAACCAAACGTGTAAAACTGACGCCACTACGTGACTGACACTTTTTTACAATCTGCGCAGTCGTTGGTCCTGGCATCTAGTAATCATTAATTTTGTTTGTTTCAGTCAACAGTTCAGAAATAAAAAAATTGATAACTACTTGTAGAAAACTCAAGACCTCAATACACCGCTGTCCTAATCACTGACGACATTTAAATCAATTACTGGTTTCTAACTCGTTTGAATGTAAATAGTGTGCATTTAAGAATTCCTCGGCCGAGATTTAAAATCGCTCAGCTGTTCCGTATGTAAAAATACAGCCGACAACGCGAATCTCATAAGCACGTGCTCTCGCACACATTGTACAAACACTTGTTCAAGCACAATGATTTTTTTTTCTTCCGTTATTTGAATATTCATGACGTCGAGCATCTATTTCTTTTTTCACGTGCGACAATCTAAAGTTCCAGTTGGAAAACTTACCTCGAATTCCCAAAACGATAAAGCAAAGAACATCAGACATGTGGTTATAATTAAATGGTATGAATGTACGCGCTGATTGTGCAACGGTTTAGCAATGAAAAGAAAAAAAAAAAAAAAAGCTCGAACGTTGCGTAAATCGATAATCAGTTGATTGTATAATTTATGTGACAGATTTTTATATTGAATAAAAATCTATTTGATTACTCTATACGCATAAATTAATCGACTAATTGCCCGTTAAACAATGAGTTCCATGTAAATTTTCTTTTAAGGCTCGGCATACACGTATTCTATACTTTTCAAGTTTATTTGAGCAAGCGGCTGATCAAAGATAGGCGTGACCTTTGTCTTCCTTGTAGTCCAGCCAAACACAATTTCGTAATGGCTCTTGTGAGGCCTATACTATTTTAAAACCAGATAATTTGACACGATTGAAAATATGCTTGCAAATAAAAATACAATGCACTGCTCGACATATTTTCAACGCGATGACCTTGCCCAACATGCTCCGTTTTATTAATTGTCTTGAGGAATCGTTTGAGCGACCACCGATCGCGTCAACTACGACTCGCGTCACTTGCGCCTACTTAAAATCTTCAGGGAAACGCCGTTTAAGTAACAATTGGGAAAATAAATCAATCCAACTGAACGCAGGGTCAAAATCAGCGAAAGTGGCCATTGGGAAAAAGTCTCATTACCACAAGAGTAAAATTGATTTGAAAAAAAAAAAAAAGGTCTCACTCGCACAGATCCAACGCTTCTTTTTTTGTCGCTTGGGCGCACTGCCAGTTTATCCCTCTTGGCGCTCGTCGAGTTCTACGCTACGCGCTCAGGCGACAGACGCGTGCCCGCTGTTTCTCACATTCACGACATCGCGGCGTTAAGATACGTACGTAGCTCCGGTCGAAAATGTGCACGGACACCCGTAATAACAATAAAGTTTGGACTATAGGTAAGCAGTGGTTGTGGTGACAAGCAGTGGTTTGTGCTGATGGTGATTTTCATGGTTACCGCGGGTGTTTAAGTCTCCCCCGGCTGTAGACTTAATTTTTTTCAATACAGTGTTTCGCTTCAAATGTAATGCTTTATTTTTGTGTTAAATTGGTTTTTTTCAACCACTACTCGTGTACAACGTTATGCTTGACAACATTTTTTCGGCAAAGGCAATGACCTTACGATTTGAAAGAAAAAACAAAATCAAAGTACTTGAAAAAGTATTTTAAACACTTTACTATCTACCCTCGTATCTAAAATGTATTTCACCCATCAGGTGGAGAAAAAATAGAGTAGCGATGAATAAAGACTGAAGTTTGTTCAGGAAACGAAAATTTCTTTTTCAAAATGTTAACAAATCCGTAAAACAATTGTTTCCAAGTCTGCCAGGCTGTAACGGTCGTTTGAGAACTCTTTCGACATTCATCGTTATTTTTGTTGACAGAGGAGCCTCGGTTAGAGCAGAATACGACAGCTGACTACGACAAAGCTGTTGCGGAGACTGGTAAGTTGTGATTTTTTTAAGTTTGGTTGTGGATTATGCTTGCATGCATAGTAATACAGGGGTCTCAGTGAAACGTACAAATTTTTTGCTAAGTTATTTTTCGTGATGGTAGAAGCTTTATACCAACACTTGTGTTGGATACAGTGGGCAATAAATAATTACGACAAAAATGAAGTGTAATTAAAGCTTGGTAATTTTTTTTAAAGATTCGTAATTGTGCACTACTCAATTCACTACTTCGTTGTTCACGAGCTGATAAAAAATAATGTCTCTTATTTTTTTGTCTGATAACAAAACGATTATAAAGATATTTTTGCTCTATATTATTAATTACTAAAAAAAAAAAAAAAACGAATATCAAACCCAATCAACAAATGTTGATGGAGTCAAAATTTAGTGTAGTTTTTTATGAGAAAAATAGTGTCTGTATGAAATTTGGTGACGCGGCAGTGTTTGCCAGAAAGTGACAGAACTACGACCACGTGTACCTCTTCCGCAGCTTATTGAATTTGAATAGTCACTTCATTAATCTTTTCAAGCAATCGAGCAGCTGATTTCGAATTTACTGTTATTTTTACCATTAGTTGGGAAAATTTTCGTTTTCAATGAGTAAATACCACACAAAATAAAAAGTCTCAGATTTATTATTAAACCCCTCAGGAATTACTGTCGATTTAAATAAGACGTTTGCAGAAGAAAGAGGGACCAAACTATATTAATATTTCAACTCTTTCGTACAAAGACAACGAAAAACTTAGTGAGATAGTACAGCATTTTTCCTCCCTAAATGATTAGAATCATGAAATATGGACGAAAATCGTTTAGTCAGTGTATTTGTACGTCAACAAATATAGTGTCTAGGTGTTCAAGGCTGTTACAGATAATGATATGAAAGCCGAAACAGTAAAAAAGAAAATTTTAATCTCCGTCATAAACTAAGGGGAACAAAAAAAGTATAATTAGATATGCTCTATTCTTCAAGAATATTACTCGATTTTTAATTCCATTTCTCTTTTGAGAAGCTGATACAAGCAATTCTTTTTGGTATAAAACATTCATAATAAGCAGTAAATTAATTTAACAAGAGACGTATAAAAATAAAATGGAAATATAAAAAATAAAAATTTCAGGATAGTGAATGTTTTCAATGACATATATAAGCTCATATGTTTTTTATCTCTCAAGTTAAATATACATGTATTTGCTAAAGTAATAAAATTTTTGAAGGATTTGGGCTCTTCAACATTTTGCTATTGTTAGCCGCTGTGCCAGTCGGATGGACCTGTATCATCGACACAACGAGTACTGCTTTTATTATAAATTCGACGGAATGTATTTTCGAACTTACGATGCTTCGAAGAGGCATTGCCTTTGCAACTATTTTCATAGGTTTTGAAAATTTGTTTCTAAATTAAAAATCCGCACTTCTTATACTCCTTGAGTCAAAAATACTATTTATTCTTCGTAGGAATGGTCATATCTGGTCCAATATGGGACTTTTTTTTACAAGACTCTATCACGGACTCTTTTGGGAAACGAAATGTTATGATTGTTGGACTGTTGTTTGATGCCATGTGCAACGTTGTTTGGATACATACCAACTCGTACTACGTATTTATACTTCTAAAATTTATAAGTGGAATCTTGTGAGTATCTACTTATTACCTACTTAATAAATGAGGTGTACAAGATTTCAAATATAATTTAAATATTTTGATTTTTTCGTAGAATCGCTGGTCCGTTGTCGGTAGTTATGGCTTACCTTTCCGAGTTCCACGCTCAAAAGCATCAGAAAGAATTTGCCCGATGGGCAGGTTTACTCGTTGGACTTTCCTATATATTACCGGCCGGTACGCTTTACCATCTAGTATTTATTTTTCACTTACCTATAATCTGTCCGTAAATCATTAAAATTTTTTGAACCAAAACAACAGCTCTGGCCGCTGTGCTGTTCTTACAAGAGCCGTGGAGTCAATTGACAATATACAATCACTTCTACCCAAGTTGGCGGGTGTATCTGATGATATGCGCTCTACCGTCCATACTTGGATTAGTGCTGCTGTGTTTAATGCCAAAGAGCCCCAAACATCTCATGGCCCAAGGAAAACATAAAGAGGCTCTTCGTCTCTTTCGCGTCATGTATTGCTTGAACCACTTCAAGGCCTCGTGTAACTATCCGGTAGTTGATCAACTTGATGAAACGCTAATAAAGTGTACCTGTGAAGAAAAAAAAATATTGGTATTGTTTACAGATCACAGAGTTGTATTCGTCTCGAAAAGATGGAGAGACAAAAATCAAGTTTAGAGATAAAGTACGAGAAAGGGTTTCTAATCTAAGAACATTGTTTTCGGGACAACACGTCAATACCATATCGTCTATTTTAATCCTTCAATTCGGTAGTATGTTGGGGTATCTGTCTATTTGTACTATTTTATTCATCAGAGATGTCCGAGACAGAATTTATCTGCACTATATGATAATTTGCATCAAGGAAATCGTACACGCTCAAACTTGGTTTCACGTGAAATTGAAAATTTTCAGGTTCAATGTCATGAGGCTTTGGGTGCCACCGTTGTTCGTCATGTTAAATAACTTTCGAGTACTGCTGCGCTCTCACTACCCAAAAGATGAGTTTATAACTATGTGCGGCATGATATTTCCTCGATGCCGTACAATTGATCGCTCGTCATGTAACTACACCACGGTAAGAATTGAATTTACTCTTACAAGTTTATTCCTTACGATTTCAACTCCAACCATCGATAAGATGGTTATTTATGTTTTTTAAATTATATGATTAAATTACATTGTAATATGAACAACCCATAGTAGTACTTTATGAACTTATATAAGTATATCAAAATGTAAGAGTTAAATAATCAAGAGAAAAAATATATACCAAGTATTTCAGAACGTCGAGCTTTAAATTCAAAATTTTGTGAAATCTATTAAAAATATCAACAATAGCAGTCATATATCGGAAGAGAAATCACACCTTGTTGATAGCTTTTCGATTTATTTCAAAGTTTCTTACTCTCTTCAGCAATTATTTTCCAAATTAAAATCATATTATTTTGAAACATTAGTGAGCATTTTATAGACAGCAGATATTGATTTGATGACACCGATTGATCTAAATTTACTTCCTTTAAATAAGGGTGATATTTTTTTTTAATTCTCAGCCAAGCGTAGAGTCCGCTGTGTATGTCAACTCGACCATAATCGCAACGTCAGCCGTTTTCTTTGGTTTTCTCTTTTCGTTTATATTCACCACGAAAATAAGGAGGATAATTCAAATAAGTAAGATGAATCACTTTCTGAGTTTTTGCAAAAATTTGATATTTTAATATTTTAAGTATTTCCCTCCAACAATGCAATGATAAATTTTTCTCTTGTAGCTTTTTTATTTTTACTAGCGACTATTGGAGCTTTTGCGGCAAACTGGGTAGTGAAAATACCGTACATGCTTGCGGCACTTGCATTTGTCATTGTTGGCTGTCGAATCGCGAGCAATCACATATTAGCGCATACTTCGGAAGTTATACCTCAACCCTTAAGGTGTAAAATCTAGTTTAATTTTTAAAACTTTTTTGAAAATATCATGACTATATTTTACCTATACACCACATTGCTTGTAACACAAATGATTTAATTTCAGGCCAACTGCCAATAGTATGATTAATTTCATCGGTAATATGGGTGCAGCTGTAGGAAACATAGAATTTTTTTCAACCATCGAAATTGACTGTATCAGTGCCTTTTTCATAATTGGATTTGTAACTGCAGGTAAGTAATAATTCCCATACCATATCAATGAGCTTAATGAAACATGAAGAAAACGTGAAAGAATTTGCTTTCAGTGTGTGCTATATTGGTACCTATTTTCTTGACAAGGCAGACACCTGTTAAAATTAAAAAAAGCAGAATCAGCTCTAAATATTGAAACGAATTTTGAAAATTCCAGTATTTAACGATTCAAAGTTTTTGATAAAGTTGTGTGGTGCACAATCGTCAATTTATCCGTCATCTTAATCATTTGATTTAAAAAAGCGTCTCTGAGATATTAAAGGCAATTGAATCGTTTGACTGGCGTAGAAAAAATATCACGCAAGATCACGTTTGAAGAAATGAATCGTAACTAAGTAAACGAATAGGTTACTCGTTTCTGGAATATACAGGAATATTTGAAATAATATAAAAAATGACGCAAGTTCTGTTCCTATAGTATTGCAATTGCTAAGAATTGTTTACTTTTATAAAAGTATTTTTAAGCTACGAAAAATAAAAATAGTTGTAACCAATGCCGTTAAACATTTTTATTTTTTATAATGTATATTTTCATACGAATAAAATAGGCTACATTTTTTCCAAGTTTTTATTATTTTTACACTTGACCTTCGAATACAACCCTTTATTGTACATATAAAATAAGCGCCTCCACTTTAGCATTTGGTGCGATTAGGTACCACATCTTTGATACCAATAGCTGATAACTTAGTTCTCTTGCTTCTGTTGATCTTTTGATTAAAAACTTTCACCAACGAAAAAGATCGAAGCGTTAATCGATTGAAATTTACCTAGTGATAAACAAGTTTGCTCAAAAAGTTTTACAAGAATTATTTTAAAATCTGTTAATAATAAAAATTGTTACAATGCAATCTTACTAACCGTTGGTGAATCCCTCGAGCATTATTTTGTTCACTGGTGGTAATTCAATACATTGCAGTCATTGCAAAGCCTCAGTTAACTTTTTTGATGTTTCTGTAGATGACATTGTATTGCAATTCCATACAGCTTATAATCCACGCAACTCGTTTCAATTAAATTTTTTATTAGCTATACGAAATAAAAAAGGTACTTTTCAATCCATCATACATCAATAATATAGATCTTGATCCCAGAATCTGAAATTTTTAAGCATCGATAAATTATGAAATTGATTATCATAGTTTCGATTCAAAAAAGCTACACCAGTTTGTGGCTCACGATATCCAAGTATTTCGGTAGAATTCCTTTATCCCACATATTTTTCCATACGATTTCAGAAGTCTTTGATTACCTTGGACCTAAGATACGGCGATGTTTGTGCGTTGCTTGGCTGCCCGAAAAATTATTGAGTCTAAAATTTTTAATTTTGAAAGATTCGAATTCAATGAACCATGTACATAAAAAATAACAAGTTCAACATACCAAAATGAAATGTACTTGAAATTCCACCTTCGGTAGAACTTGGAAAAAAAAAAAAACTAAGGCGAGCGGTCGAAAAAAAAAAAAACACCCTTAATTTCACCTCCCCCGTACACATTAGCCCCCCTAACGAAGCAATCAGCTCGACTCACCGCTTCCATGGCTCCGAGTCCAATGACAAGAAGCTGCGACCCCGCAAAAATTCCATACACCCACAGTGTCACCCAATTCCAGAACGAATCCGCAGTGAATGGATTTTACGCTCCGAAAAAGAATAAAACAAAACAAAGAAAAATATATATCAGTACCGCTCTCCCGCTCCCCCTTTTTTCTCGCTTTTTCTTTTTTCGTTCGCGCTCGCATCAACGTGAAAGCGCAAAACAAATGAAAAAAACAAAGGAGCAAAGAAGAGAGAAGGAGGGGTTGGGGGGTAGAAGCACCGGAGAGGGTGAGTGCGTTGACAGTCGGGGAGGATCGGATAGGTGAGATGTGTGGAGTATACGTAGAGAGTCACGGGGTGGGGTGGGGGGGGGTGAGGAGGCTGCGCGCCAGCGTATGGAGTGGCCGCGTGGAGCCGGTGTTCGCGCGCGCGTCGCCCCTCTCTCTTTTCCTCCCTCATGGTGCGTATACGTGGGCGCCTGCGACCCGATTTGCCAGGTGGAGTGCCGGTCGGTCGACGGCAGGATTCGCGCGCGTTTACTTCAGTGCGCGATCAGCCGCCGAGGTGTCTTTTGCACGGAGCCCCGGGAAGATTGAAAGGACCCGGTTTTTCTCTCTCCATCTCCCTTGACCAATTATCATCGATTGCTATTGGCTACAATCGATAAGCATCGGAAGATAGGAGATCGGCACCGAAGGTAAGTGCGAGTTTTACTCTTTGTTTCGGTTTCAATGAGCGTTTAAGTATATTTAATAATTTATTCAATTTGAAATCTGCTTGCGTAGCATATAATGTCATTGTATCGTCCCACGTGAGTAGTATAATTATAGCGTTATTGTGTATTTTATTGACAGACGGTAGAATGTTGGGTTGAAAAATTTTCAATTGCCTCGTGATGGGCTTACGAAAGTGCCCCAGTAATTGTAGAATACTACTTTCATTGCGCATTAAAGAAAAAAAAATGAAATAACATTATTTCCAAATTTCTAATGGATCAATTTATTATTGGAAAAAAGTGTGTATAGTGTGAAAGATAGATGTGCAAAATGTGGGAGTAAAGTGGCAAAAATTTAATAATTTACAAGTACAGCAGTGCAGTTCTTTGGTATTTCATGTACGAGTAAAATGTTAATCTTAGGGACTTTTACGAGGTATGCGTATCTCGTGCTGTAAAGCCAAAAAAACCGGCGAGCGTGTGTCGTCGGCACGTCCAGCGCGCAACGCGTGTCGCAGTAAAACGAACATTTTAACGGGAAAATACGCGAGGGAACGGAGTAAAAAGAAATAACACCTGCCCCTGGGAAATGTGTCCGCGAGGAAAATATTTCACTTTTCAATTTCAAGCTTGGGCAGACGTAAAAAAAAAAAAAAAGAAATTCCTAAAAAGGCATTTTTTTCATCCATCCTTATGAAATTAGTTTTTACCAAATAATGCAATATGGTATTGTAACAATTTCAGACTTTAAATTAGGTACATGAGCATGGACCCAGAGCCTATTTTAATAAAAAAAAAAAAAAAAAAAAATTGTTTTTCGATACCGATTTTCATATTAGCTATTTATTTTACTGCACACATTTGATAATGATATACTTTTGTCACAATAAATACATACACGAACCAGACTCTTACGAAAAATCATCGGATGGTCCAACGAAATACACGCACCATCAATATCTATTATTCACGACTTGATCACATTTCATAACAAACATACAAGCCACGAAAGGGATCCGTCCGACCGATTCAACGAAATAGCCCCACCGAGGGAAAAACGAATTCCCGGTTGGCAAAGGGAAGAAAAGTTCTCCCCGGAGAGAAAGAATCATCGGAATTCATAGTGCCCGATTGTTAAGCACACACGTACATGTGCACACACCCACGCAAAAAGCCAATAGCTAGAGATTGTGCTCGGCTCATTGACGATTCAGCAGTTTCTCCTCGACACTAGCGCACGTCTCTCCCCTTATTTGTCATCGATACCCCGCTACATACGTCGACTCGAAGAGTCCGGGAAAAGTCAAGTTGGGCCACGGCTTTTAATTGACCGCTTTTTGTTTTTTTTTTTTTTTTTTTTTTTTTTGTTTTTGTTTCATTAGTATTCGTGGGAGAAAATGCAAATGAAAATTAATTAATTTTTCCAAAACTATACGTATAAATCAAAATAAATCGGTAAGCCTGTAAGTATCATAACGCGCGACGATAATGACTCTGAACTTTGGCCCGGTGCGGGGCGTTAATAACGCGTAAGCTCATTTAAACTTTCGAGCACGTCTCCGCTCGCATTTTCCCCCCGCTGGCCCGTAATTGTGTCAATTAAAAAGAGAAAAATCCTGCCAATTTACGCGAACACGTGCAGTTTCGGCACATACTTCATTTTAAGTTGTTTATGACTAAAATTACAATCATTAGAGATTCGTGGTGTCAATCACCTCCTCTTAATTCTCGATGAAATCAATGAGCTGTATAAAAATGTAGAGCCATTTATTCAGTAAAATCTATTGAATTGCTGACTTATTGGTTGTCATTGTTTTTTTTTTTTTTTTTTCCAGTGGACAAGACAGCTTACATTTTTTACAGCAAACATTGTACTCTGGTGCGTGACCCAAAATCCTTCACCAAAAAAATGGCCACTTTGAAAAACAAAAAACAAAAAAAAAAAAAAAAAGCAGATATTAAAAGTGACAAAAACAGTGACCACGTTTACTGAGAATGTACAAAAAAAAAAAACCCTTTCTCATATGTATCTCGTAAGAGAAGTCATGCCCAGCACTGTTTACTTTTCCGTCCACTCCAAGCACCAACAGTACATCAAAAACAAAGCGTATTTGCTCGGATCCAAAATGATGAATCCCAATTTTCCCACCTCACCCCCTATACCCCCAAAACTCCTCGCAAAGTCCTTTGACCCACAATTCGATCGGCGTATAACCCATCAAGGCGTCCCGGCAATCGTCGATTCGGCATCCCACCGTATTGTCCCTCTCTGTACATATTTGTCACCGATACACCCTCTTTGCCCTCGCGTGAGCGAAAGACCCGAGAAGAAGGGGAATGAGCAAGCAAACGAGCTACCCCAGGGCCGATAGGGTACATCGCAGCGACACGGAAGCGCCGAAGGAAGCTGTGTTCCCCCGAAATGAAATAATCGGATAAGGTGGCGGTGGTACCCCGCATTACGGTGGTGCGGTCGCGCGTACGCGTTATATCCGTGTATATATTATAATCGTGCACGTGCGCTTCCTCCTTCTACGCGCGTTATACCTATGTATAATCGAGGGGGTAGATACGGGAGTCCCTGGCTCGGGTTTATGAATGAACGGCTTGCCCCACTCCCCTCCTCTCACTTAATACGTACTGCAGCTGTACGGTTTCGGCCAGCTTGTACATTTATGTATACATGTATCCCCCATCCGTGCTAATGGGGGCTGCTGGTCTTTCTTGCCCTCCCCGCGCACGGTCGTTTAAACGCGATGCCGTGTGTTCTCTCTCTCATTCCCTTTTATACACGCCCACCGCATCCCGAGCGTATACGTTGCGTTTCTCGTGTAAGCGCGTACGCGGGTAGTGCTTCGTTCGTTATCGCTGAGCGCTCTTTACCCATCGGCTCGGGTTTTATTGACGTGGTTTGGAATTGACTTTTTTGACTTGACAGGGAACTTGACAGGGAATTGCCTTTTATCGAATCTTTTGGGCTATATATTATCCTTTTTTTTTCTTTTTTGTCTTTGATTTTTTTTAAATAAATCGTGTCTATTTGCGCCGAAAAGCCGTTACCGGGGCAAGTTTGGGCAAAGGGTGGGTTTTTTTTTTTTTTTTTTTTTTTTTTTCCTTGATGCTACTTGACGTTGGCATTTCTATTCCTGACGGTGCAGCGTACAGTGCCGTACACGGTATACATTTATTACACTCGGCCTCGTCTCGGCACGCACAAGTAGTAACTCTTTTTTTTTTTTTTTCCTCCTCATTTCGGAGCAACGCTCGTATATATATATATATATATACACACGCGCTCGTACATGAGTGATGTTCGACGTGCGTTTTTGTATA